AGTGATGTATAATATGCACTGCAAGGATTCCTTTTACTGGCTAAGCATAATTGATGACAACTTTTTATCCTATTTTATTGAAAAGGGACCAGCATTTTTTCAAAATGATAATTGTTCATTTGAAAAGTCAGCTAGAAAGAAAAGTGATTGGTGAATATAGAAAAGTTTAAAAAATATTATATCAGTTTAAAATATAAATTATTATATTTATTATAATTAGTTTTCTTTGACTTGAACATTAATTATTATATTACTATTGTTAGTTATTTTTATATTTTAGACAATGATCACACAAGGCATCTATCACTAACTTTTTTTCAAAGAAAGTTACCAAATGGCGAGAAATGTAAACRGCAATGGTTAATGTATTCTCCTAGTCAAGGTGTTGTATATTGTTTTATGTACAAGCTTTGCATGGGTAGAAGTCCCATCATACTTTAAATAAATAAATATATTTAACTACATCTTCAATTTTGTAATTACTATAAACGTCAATTGTCTTATAACATTAGTCAATACATTTTGTCAACTTTGCTGAAAGTTTAAAYATTAATAATACTTGTGAAATAAAACACATTAATTCRTTAATTAACTAATAGGTAATTAATATTTTATACCTATTAAGTATTAATACTAATAAAATAATTACTGTCATTTGTTTGACTACTGTTAAATTTCACTAATAATCTTAATTTTGTTAATTTTGTTAATTTAGATATTGACATTTATAATTATATTATATTATTTATAAATGTAGCAGAAAACAACCAACAACATAAAAAGGCCCTTCCTCAAGGGCCATCAAAACACGGAAAAACCATGGCTGAAGGTTCTTCATAATTTAGATATTTTAACTTGAAAAGATGAAAAAATTTAGAATAGCCATTGATATTTTACAACATTTATAATTCTTAATAAATTGATAACTATAAAATAAATGTATTTTCCAAGTAACTATATGACYAGAAACGAAATGTATTTTAATATAAAAATAATAATTAATAGTTCTAAGAGTATAAAATAACATTTTCATTAACTAATCGGCTTCAGAGTTTAACACAGTTTAAAAAAATAATAATAAAAACAACTAAAAAATAAAAATAATACAAAATTAAAAGAATAGATTATTTTATAACAATATATTTATATTTCACAGTATATAAAAAAAAATGAGTTATAATATCTAATTATAAAATAGACATTGTATTAATATGCTTAATTTAATTGACTTGAGTAATACATATAGTATAATAGAAATACATTGAATTGGATACATTAAGTTCCACAGTAAATGCCCACACAATATGCCAAATATTAAAATGAAAAATAAATATAAAAAAGTGTTAATGAAATTAATGATARTAGTCAGTCTGATACTCTGRTATAATGTAGGATGCAATGAATTAAAATGTATAACGATAAATTCGATAYACAGATAAACGTTCACCAATGATATTTCGGGACAAGATACGATGGCATACTAATCGTCTGCTACCGGGGCTGCTTCCAAAAGTTGTCAACTCTAAATTGTTCAAGTCATCATCGTAAATATTTTGGTCACCTCGTTCACACCGGGCTTGCATCTCATCTCGCACTAGTGCATCATAATTGTAATCAATCATCAGTGCATAAAATACTCCATACTCTGATAGAAGATCTGCCGCTTGATGCAGGGCTCTAATTAATAAAAATGCATACAAAATATATTATATTAGTATAAGTCAAGATTATAAAACAGGTTAGTTATCAGTAGTACAATTTGTACATGAGCGCCTGGTCACAACTCGTTACGGCGTAGTTTCATTATCTGCCGAGCGCTGCTAGTCAGACGTGTCAGATTTTCATATTATTTCATATGGGCGTACATATAGTTTTATTCCAGGTCAATTGAATAGTAAAAYCTACCGAAGAACTCTTCGATAGTTTTATTTATAGACTGAATCGTAAAAACTATCTATAATTAATAAGTCCTATGTAACTTTCGACTTTTGTAAAATGCCATATTCATGCTATGTTGTGTATTGCACATCTGGCTACAAATTAAACAACGAGAAAGTGTCATTTTTCCTGGAAAATAAATACTCTATACAATATGTATTTTATAGTAGGTTGGAAATTTCTATACAAAATTGGTACCAAAAAAGAAAATTTGTGTTGCCACCTGTTGAATATTCAGCACATTCATTTTGAGGACTAATAAAAGTCTGTTTTAATACTTAATTTGCCGGGTGTGTATCCCAATGAAGCAATGACTCCAGTAGTCCAGTCTCCAAGACCTGGAACTATACTWGTTTATAGTTTATACTCACACGGTCATGTAAGACCTGCATTTACAATGTGTAAATGACGAGTGTAAAATGTAAAAAAATTGGTGTGGGTAAGTACTAATTTAAGGTAGTTACTCCATAGGAAAAAAAAGTTCATGCTACCTCTGTATGTAGGCATCTAAATCTAATTGGTATTTGTTATTTTCCTAATATATTATTTAAAAAAAAATTAAATAAAAATACAGCAAAATTACAGAATAGAACATATTAAGGTATTACAACATTTTTTTTTTTTACTGTTTGCAAGATGTAGTCACTTAAAGTTCTCGATTAATTACATTAAAGCGTACATTCAATAAAATACTTAAGTTCCTAAAAATAATATATAAATTCATAAAATAYGTGGTAAACTAGAGCGTTGTGCATATATATAAATACAGAAAATGGTAAACAAGAGCGTTGTGCATATATATAAATACAGAAAATAGCAAACTTTAAGTGATTATAACTTTTAAACTAATGATTCGGGAGAATTGTTTTGGCACCATAGTTTTCAAAACATCAGTTAACTTCTAAAGAAAAATGCGGGTAACTTAAGTGAAATTTTATCTAAACTATGATAGATTATACACATAATAATATGAAATTATGAAATTTCGACWCATCTGACTAGCAGCGCTCGGCAGTTAATGGAACAATGGCGTAAMAAGTTCTGACCGCCGATCTAGCCCACATTACATAATCTTTATAATCATGGTATAGGTATAACTGCTAGGTACATGAAGTAGTCACGCTCATACCAACCTTTTAAGAACATCTACACCATCTGGGCCACCACCCAGCCAAGCGGCATCTTCCATAGCTACTAGCTTTTGATATTCATGTGCCTGGTCGTTAGCGTTAATTTTTGTTACTCTAGGTGTAGGGGCATGTTCACCATCAGGGCCTCGAACATATGGTGGATTGAATAAAAGTATATCAATAGGGCCATACACTTCTTTGTTAGAGTCATTATTGGTTTTAGTTGTTTCAGGACGTCGCATCCATGTTAGTAAGTCACCACGTACTGCATCCACCTAGATATAAAAACACAAATGAGTCACAAACAATTATAATATTTAAAAATAATCATATAACTATACAACTATACACTCACTTCAACATCATTAATTYTGCATGTCATAATAGTCTTAAGACAAGCAGTTGGATTCATGTCTACTGCTATACAGTGAGCTCCAACAGCAATCGAAGAAAGTGTATCATTCAGAGCCTTTGATATAGCAGCAGTAAGTATGCCAAAACCACTACCTAATTCAACAACCATCAGTGGTCCACATTTAGCAGATGAATCAATATTTGTTTTTGAMAACCGAGTCTTTATCACTTGCTCCAAATCCAATTCAAAAACGTCCAACATTAGAAACGTATCCTCGGCTGGCTCATACACTGAAGGGGAGGTATCAAATTCTCCATTGTTTTCGTCCAAAGAGACTTTATCCGAAGTAGAATAAGACTGTACAAACATACCATGTAAGTATAGTTAATTAGTGATAATCTATATTTATGTTAGTAAAAGAAAGATAATGGGTACCATCATTATACTTACAGGCGTTTTGATAATCATATTGGATCTTATGGTCCTTGTTCTAGATAATGTCACTACATAATGAATACAAAATTAAAAATTCAGCTTAAAAGTATCAACAGAATGTAGCACATCAGTCTTGTGGCAAGGCAACTGGCAAAATACGATTAGAAATTAACGATTCAGTTACCCAATGCACTAGATGAAAACGTCCAGAAGACAATCGTGGTTGACGAGGCACCCACCTAACCGAATAGGAACAATTAATAACAAATAGTTTGATAACGAATATGTGATAAGAATTACGAACGGTTCAAAACAAACCGTTATCACGATTCACGGTTCACCACGGCTTGTCCCCATTTAAATTACACAGACAAAAAATAATTTGAACTAGATATTCATTTTTAATATATAACCATTCATAATTTAAAATATTCATATTTTGACAAATTTTAATTCAAAAACCTTGAAGATTGGTGTATTTAAGACGGCGCTAGTAATGCTAAAAGGAAAATATCCCCCCGAACTCCGCCTGTTGTAATACATTTCGTAGTCAACCCCCCACACCCTCCAACCTTGTCATGACCCTCGACAGTTCTGTATATTATCTTAATTCGTGCTATTTATATTGGTAACATTTTCTTGTTATTGTATGTAGAAGATCAGATGTTATACCAACAAAAAACACAAAAATTTGCAATTGTAATTTTAAGGAAAGATTAAAAATCAATGGTCCTAGTATTTTTACGTGGAATATAAATCCACATTTTAATTTTGCTTCTCTAGAAAAATTCACAAAGTATGTTATAATATCCTTTTGTAGTTTTTTTCCAAGTTGATTTTTGATGCACGATATATGTTGTGACTATTAATTATGTCAATGTTTGTTCCCACTGTTCCCAGAGTGGACCAATGGGGTAAGTTTCCAGTTGGTGGAAATAAAAAAAATGCTATTTAAAATTATCATAAATTTTCTTTGAAATAAAAGATTTAATTTTAATCAATAAAAATTGAAAATCTTTGTTTAAAAAATKAATTAAAAAAATTCTACTGATAAATGTACCTATATTTAAATTACCTAAATTAATTAATATTTTCTGTTTCCTCCAAACTAATGCTCAAGTTTTTTTTCTTACTATGCAATCAAAAACTAATCTTGACCAAAATATGGAGACATCTTATTGTTGCTCCAAGGTCTTCAATTATGTTACTGTATTAAACCGTGTTTAATTATAAACTTTATGGTTAAACTTTGTCATATTACTTTTGTATGTTTCGATAACTGTTATTTCTATGTGTGGAGAAGTATTTATTGAATTTGTAAAACATTATTTATGTCCAAAATATTATTTTTATTAGATAGTGCATGAACTATTTATAATTACTAATATACCWATTATTAAATGTAAATGAAGATGATTGATTTAGAATACATTTTTCCATTAGTTTTATGTTGTATTTTATTTAATTAATTAATTTACATTCCTGTAGAATAATGATATTTTTAATATTAAAGGCGCCAAAAAATACTTGTTGAAACTGGAAATGATATTGATAATGATGAATGTATGAACACTAAACTTAATTGTGAAATTGAAACTTTGAGTATGCCCAATGAAGAAGAACAATGCTTCCAGTAACAATGTTAAAATAGAAAAAATCAATTAATTGAGTCACTTCAATCTAAAAATGATAGTTTAAAAAAGGAAATAATTTTTCTTAAAAACCGTTCTTTTGGTCACCACTCTATAGAATCCAATGGCAAAATGTTTGATTTTTATTGTGGCATTACTAAAGTTATGTTTGATCTTATTATTGAATTGGTTTCTAAAGTTGAAATCAATTATTATTATACTTGGAGTGTGAAGAAGTTATGTTTAAATGACCAAGTTCTAATGACTAATGAAATTAAGATTAAATTTATGTTATACAGACTTAGCATTCAGATTTGGTATTAGTGAATCTACAGTTGGCAATATTATAATAACTTTCATTAGCGTTCTCCGTGAAATTTTATTTGTCAGCTTAATGAGTAAAGTACCATCTCAAAATCAAAATCAAAACTGTTTACTTAATTGCTTCAATGATTTTAAAAACTGTAGGATTACTTTAGACTGCACTGAAATGTCCTGTGATATCCCAAATTCATTAGTTGATCAGAAATTGACTTACAGCTCATATAAATAGAGAAATACCCAAAGGACTTGTTGGAGTGGCTCCTAATGGTGTAATTACTTATGCTAGTAAGTTGTACCCAGGATCTACTTCAGACAAAAAAATTGTAAGTCATTGTGGAATTTTAGAAATATTACAACCAGGTGACTTAGTTTTAGCCGACAAAAGAATTTTAACATCTGACATTTTGCCTCCTGGAACTTCCTTGAACATTCCTCCGTTTTTAACGACTTCACAATTTACGCCTAGTGAAGTAATTCGTGCAAAAAACATAGCTAGTGCCTGAATACACGTAGAAAGAGTTATGGTAAGATAAAAACGAATTTTAAATTTTGAAAATTTTATCAAGTATAGGAATTGATAAAATAAACATATGGCCATATGATATAAATTTCAAATTTTTACTTAATTCATTCTTGAATAACAACAAAAGAAGAATATCGGCACCAACAAGAGAAATTGAGTGAATAATTAATGTAATGTTGTACATTCTAATGCTCATAAAAATTAATTTGACATTCTGGTAGAAATTTTTTTTCATGAAGGTAGACAAATTTATAATTGTATGAAATGTTCAATTCTTGGTCATAAAAAGAAAATTGTTTATGAATTTCTAACCAGAAATAATTTGCAAATTTTCGAGATTTATAYGAATTCTGTGAAAATACAAACTCAACAAATTATTGTAAATTTCCGCTCAACATATTTTTTTATTCTCAAATTATGAAGAACCTTGTGTTACATTATTACATTTACGAGTTTTTTGACTGAGCAAAAATTATTTTGTTTAACAAAATTTGATAGTTAAAAAAAAATCAATAAAAATCGAAAATTGCATATACCTATAGTTTTGAAAAATACTGTAAATTTTAAATTTTGACCTGCTGAGTGCACCAACTAGATTCACTTTCCTATCGGAAAAGATACTGAAGTTGAAAATCGAAGCATTAATTACTATTGATTGCGCTCTAAGACACAAATAAAAAAAACTTCAGAGTAAAATCAATACATTCACATTGGAAACCAAAAATTTTATTGATGGGCGTACTGACGAGGGGATATTTATTGCAATGCGGTACCGAGCTGATGTCTGATCTAGCTGTGGCTAACATAAAGCCATAATGTCGATTGTTGCGTCGTCGTGAATGGTGTATCAGATATCTATATTCTAAAAGTTGAGATGGACCCAACTCTGGAAAATTTCCCGACAGCGGCGCCGACAAGACGTAGTGATAATGAATGATAACATGATTACAACGCCCAATCATAATTCATAATACGATAAAAGGTTACTAACGTCGTGGGCTGTGCTGAATTTCGGGGGGGTACCTAATGATAACCGGAATGCGTCTAGCGAAATAATTGTAATTGTAGTTCGTTGATAATAACCGCACTATTTTACAATTTAGTGTTCTACTGTTCTGTGTTTACTGTTTATTGACAATAATTGTCGATTAGTTAACATACTGACGAAGGTTTTTGCTGTAAATCAATCAAAATGATCATTCCAATCCGATGCTTTACTTGTGGAAAGGTCATAGCAAACAAATGGGAGAGTTACTTGGGCTTATTACAAGCCGAATACACAGAAGGGTGAGTTTATTAATGTGGTTATTTATTTGGCATAAAGCAGCACTATGTACGATTATTTGTTTGTTATGTATTGTGTATAATCGATATGGCGGTTAGATAATAGATGGCGAGAAGAGACTCTCCGATATAAAAATTTATTTTTTGTTATACAATTCTATTCTATGAGTATGAAAATCTAAAAACACTTGTAATTCCTTCCTAGCTATGAATTTGTCAAATGCTGGGTTATATAAACAATTACTACTCATTTAATAATTCCATAATGAGCTTGATTAAACATGATTTAGTTATTTGACTTGTCATTAGAATCATAGATATTTGAATTTTGAGTCTGTTATAATTCAATTGTGATACTTACCCCCTAGTATCAAATTTTTATGGCCCTTCCATTTTCCTAAGTGTTAACTACCTAGTCATTTAAAAATAGCTTAGTATATTTTTTAAACTTTTGTCGATTACTTACAATTCACGCATTATTTTATTCAAGATATCAAATGGGTCCTGTATAGTAATATTTTCAGCCTTAGAAATTTAAATTCTAGCAGCCCACAATAACTTTTTTTCTTTCCTTTTTTATAATCTTCTGTACTCTTTTCTATTCTCTTTTTTAATAGTTCTATTGCTCTTTGGCTTAAAATAATGAAGTTACAAATTCAATACAAATCAAAACTTTTAATTTCATAGTTAAAATATACAATAATACAATATTCAAGACTTAACTACTTATTAATATGTTATTTATTTATTACAAAGAGAACATAAAAAAAACTGACTCTTAATTGCTAAGTTCCCTGTAAAACAATTTACACTAAATAAAAAATGCTTGCCATAAATTACTTAATGAATTAGGAAGTAGCCCACACAAAGGCTGACCCATCAGGTAAATTTCTGATATCCGGATATGCRCAATTTAATGAGTGGACCTACACCAATTACTCAATTGTCAAATATTTGAAAACTTGCAATTTGCCAACATTCTGCCATTTACATGTCAAATTTTTAAATTTCCTTTAATTGAAATTTACCTATACATTTTATTATTTTTATTTTTTCAGTGATGCTCTGGATGCTCTTGGACTTAAACGTTATTGTTGTAGACGTATGTTACTCGGTCATGTTGATTTGATTGAAAAACTTCTCAATTATGCACCACTTGAAAAATGATTTTCAAGAACAATTGTACACTACTATTATATGTATTTTTTTTTTTAAATAAAATAATGAATCAATAAAATGTAATTCATTGTGTATTAATTATATGTTACAATGTTACATATCTACATGTATATTAATAAGCAAAAGATTTTTAATTTCTAAAATAATGCTGAACATTATAAATATTTAATATCAGATCAATTTTTCAGGTAAAAATATTAATCATCATTGGAAAATAGGAAGCTCTTTTTTTTATTTATATAAAGTAACACAATTAAATGATTATTTTATTTATTTATTTTTTTAAATTTTTGCATTTAATACCAATTGATATGATGACAATCCCCTATAAATGAATTACAAGTATTTGTCTATGTTAAATAAATCAAAAGTATTGTTTTTTTATTGCATGAATACATTTTTTGTTATCTTTACTAATGTTATTTGAATAGAGAACATTGGGAGGAGTACATTGAACAGACCAATTTTTACTTWAAAAAAAAACTTTGTATCTAATGTTTCTACATGGCAGGAGTGGTGGATTTATGAGATACATGTGAAAGGCTTAGGTGTTTGGCACCATAGCTATTTAGGTTAAGTCTTAAGTACTTCATTGTTAAATATTGTATTTAATGAAAAATAATTTTTTTTTTTAAATTTACATTACATTAGGCTAATTTACATTTAGTACAATAGGTAGTTATAAGATATATGTAATGACACGATAAAATTAAAATGTAAATTTTGAATAAGAAGCCATCCATTATTGATACTAGATAATAACAAATATGATGTTGATAGTCACTTTCAGATATTTACTAAAAATAATTGCTCACCCCTCGCTTTCAATATTCACATTAAGATAAAGTTGTTAAAGTTTATTTTCCACATTAAATATGATTAAATCAAAACAGGGACAGATTAAACTATTTCTGCTTGTGTTTTATAAAAATCTAAAAGTAACAAATTAAAAAATACAGACCTGAAATTAAAAAGTTATCTAATATGATTTATTGGGTGAGTATAGTATGTTGTAAAATAAAAAAGAAATATTTAATATAAAAAATTACTGTTTTAGATACTGACTAGAGCARAGAATGTATTGTTTTAAAATTAATTTTCATCTTTTAAGATAGTAAAAACCCTTAGATTAACTATTTCAGTCTTTTTTTTTTAAATGAATCTAGGTTGTATATTACGAGAGTGTCATTAATGGGCGGCTGCTCTCATCAAACGTAACATGTACTATAYAATTTATTGTAAACTCTTTTTATTATTAATATTAATTGTTTTGATACCTTATATATATTCTGTTTCACATTTACTCATTGTGCCTAAGGTATAGATTGTAAATTTCTTTAAAAAAAAAAAAAAGATTGTATATTGGAGGATCAAAAATAAAAAATCTAAATTGTTTAAAAATGCAAAACCAGATTTGTCAAGATTATTTTATTTTTTTTGTATTACATAAAAAATTATAACCTGAAATACTTAACATTTTTATTGAATGTTTATTTTATCATTTAGGATATATGATAACATTTTCATAATATTTTTACCCTTTTTGAGTTAGATCATATTTTTAGTTATATTATTTATCTAAAATAAATTGATATAACYAATGCCATAACTAAAGGTGGTAAAATGAGCCCTACCGAGGGCGCATTTGAGTTAAATTAAAATTAGTTTTTTTTTTCAAACATTGTTTTTTCTCATGAATTATTTAAAGTTTTTTAAAAATCAAGAGTAAATGTGTAATACACAAAAATTATATACTGGATTGTGCCTTGATGATGTTAATTTATTAGTGTTTACTACTTTTACATTTATATATTACCAATATATATTTTATTTTTTCTTGTATGAAACATAGGAATATACGAGTTATATATATAATATATAACTCATTAACYATTAAGACTCAATTATTTAAAAAAAAAAAGCGGTTTTTTGATTAAAGCATAAGAATGTATTATTATTACATTTATATTAAAATTATACCTATAAAATGAAACAAAATAAAAATTTTCAAGGGTCCCACAGAGGGTAGTTACGGCATGGATAGTGGATTTAAACTAAATACCAGTKAAAATAGTTAAAGCAACATTCAGTAGTTTGATATTAACTTATATTTTCCTTCACTACATTATTATATAACAGATTTTGATTTGGTAGGTATTCTAAAAACTGTCACACTTTGACATTAAATAGCATACAAGATGAGTACTCTCTTTAGTAGGTACCAAGTTTTAATTCATAGAATATTAATATAGGTATGAGTTATAACAAATATGAAATATGTGGCACAATTTGTTTTATTTACTTTTCAACAAATATATTCCTTYCTGGTTTCTCAATAAGTTACAAATTACAATATTTTCTCATTAAAATTATCATATAACAATAATTATTTATGTAATCTAAAGAGCATCAAATCTGACAAATGATCAATAACCTACTTATAATAATAATTTGTAATACAGTATAAAAAATTAATTTTAATTGATCTTATTCAGGAAAATTGCACTATGTATAATAAAGACTGTATAATAAACTTATAATGAGTATAAGGATAGTTAAATAGTCAATTTTGATTGAAATTATATCAATATCTCAATATGACTGAACGAAATATTTAAACTTAATAAGTCCAACCTAACTTTAATGTCTAAATATTTTACACTTTAGAAATTACAAGTAAGATAGATTATCAGTTATATTATAATATACTTTCTTTAAAAATATCCTATCAAATTAATAACAAAGCCCCAATGGCAAAAGTTGGAGAGGCGATAGTTATACAATGGCAATAGTCATAATAGTCATAATAGTCATAATATAGTAATTTATTATAATAATAATAATAATAATAAATAATAGTATGTAATAATAACGTAAAATAATTTAATTTAGCTTAGTAACAATTCGAAAAATAAAAATGAAACCTCACATAAATCATGTTTTTTTTCAAATAAGACCTGTATTTCAGGTGTTATGCGTTAGACGAATCTTGACTCGCTCCACTAATTGCAGTAAAAAGTGTTCGGCTATCGTTACTCGGAGATGTACAGGATTGCAATACATCTCGCCACAGTGAATCGCTTTCAATGCACTCTGAAAGTTCCCGACACATTTTCAAAAAGTTTTCTTGCATCACATCTTGGTATTCCATTTGATCGGCAGATACTAACATTCTATTCAACTTCAACGCATCGAAACATGCGCTGATAAATTCTCTGATTTTTTAAAAACAAAAAAAAACAAATAATAAAGATTAAAACAAATTATAATAAATTATTTTTTTTCCAATCAAAACGGGAAAAGGCTCGTGCTTGATGTTTAGTAAAATACTAAAGTGAAAAAATTGTAAACGAATGTGAATCAATAATATGAATGGCTGTTAATAAGTTGGAAGTAATATTATATTACAGTTGAAAACTTAAATAACGCGAAACAATTATTATACTCATCGTTAAAGGTAATCGCTTTCAGTTAACTGTTATCATAATTAAATCAGATGTTAAGTTTAGATCATAATTTGAAGTAGGTAAATGTTTATGCAGTATGTGCTGTGACCATTAGCTGCAGTTAATTTCATCATCATTTACCTACATAATTTGAACTATATACTCACAGCTAGTCTTCTATAAAGTCTGATAATTAAAAAATAAATTTTATCAATACAAATGTCAATAATCACTACTTCGACTATATCTCTTATAGCAATACGTTTAATTCACATGAGGAAAACAACTTGCTTAAAATAAAAAATGGTTTGATGCATTGTATATCCACATGAACTCCTGCCCTTGGATCAGAATAATTTGTGCATTTTATTCTCGTACATTTTATAAAGTCGTTATACAAAATAGTTGTTTTAATTAATATATCTCAGTATAAACACACATTGCATAAGTATATTATTACATAGACTTACCTAAACGTATCTTTAAGGTCTTGAACTTTATCAGCCTGTAATTCAAGAACAGCTTGTGGTTCCAAAAATGCTCTGGCATATGCCAATGGACCGGCATTGACTTGAACACATACACTTCCCTGTAAAGTGACAAATCAATAAAAGTTGTGCAAAGTGATGAACCTTTCTATTTTGCATAGAAAAATATTTATATGACTATAAAAAAGATAGGTATTATGATATGGTAAATGTATTGACTACATACCAAAACTAATTAACAAAGTAATGTAGATCATTGGTTTAGTGTAAGTTATTTACATATAAAATATTAAAATTATATTATATAAGATGTAACAGGAAGACCTGACAAATGAAATAACTTTTGTTCTAGTTCTAATCATTACTTAAACATTTATTCTTATTTTTTAATACTAAAACGAAAAAAAAAATTAAAATTTTATGAAATTATTTTTTAGTAATGCTGACCTAAGGTGTATTTTTATTTTTTAGTGAAGTTAGGAATGCCAATAATATGTCATAATACCAAATACATATAATGTTTAGTATCAATTCCATCTATTCATATAGAAAAATTATATAATATGCTTATAAAAAAGATTGAATGCAAAAAAAGAAAAATTTAAATTTTCACAAATATTTTCACACTCGCATGTGTTGTCTCAGTATTACAAGTGCGTAACATAGCAAATTTTACACTCAGCAGTAGTTCCAAATAAGCTCTTTTAGTTTAAAATTTAGAGTGAATTTACCTCTTATAAAAATTAAAGGTAACATGATTATCACAGAGGATTAATATTATATTTTAATTTTAAAGCGAGTTACCTATATAGATGTATATAGATGTTTGTAAGATATACAAACAGTTAACAAAATACTAATAACTCGCTTTTAAATAAAATTAAATATAAATCCTCTGTGGTAACCTAAATAATGTTACCTTTAATTTTTATAAGAGGTAAATTCACTCTAAATTTTAAACTAAAGGAGCTTATTTGGAACAACTGCTGAGTGTAAAATGCCACTAAAATTTTCTGTTTTTTTTTTTTTTATTATTTAATATCGGTAAAGATTACTAGGCCTCACTGAGTTTAAACTCGTGTGGAGGCCTAAGAGTTATCTTATATACAACACATTTACATTTATCATTTTCTCCTTAAAATACCTACTCAAATATACAATAAAAAATCAAAAACAGAAATACAATAATATAAGTTTGAACAGCAAATATAAATAAACAATGTTAATGTAAAAACWAAATTAATCCTGATACTTCAGTATAGTAGCATCAAAAATATTAGCCACTTCTTTGGGCATTATATTATGTATATGTGTCCCAACAAAATCATACATTTTACGACATCAAGCTTTTTTGGGAAATTTTAGCGAATAGTAGCATATCTAGTGTTAACTTTGTGATTTACAGAGGATAACAGGTTATGTTTTTTTAGGAAAATGGTACAGGTTTTTATGTATAGTTTATTTATATTAAGTACATTAAATTCTTCATATAATTTTTTTGATGGATATCTCTATTTTTTGTTTCAAGCAACTCTAATAATAGTATTTTGGCATTTTTGAAGACGTAATAGCACATTATCATAGGCGCTACCCCAACCAATAATGCCATATGTGATTAAAGGTTCAAAGAGAATTAAATATATAAGTTTTATGTCTTTACAATCTAGTATTTCACGTAGAGATTTCATGATGAAAATCATCTTTCTCAACTTATAGGTAGTATTATTAATTTGATTTTTCCATTTCATATCATGAGACATATCGATACCTATATGTATTTATAATTTTTGACAATTGAAACCAATTTACACTGGCAGTGATTTAATAATAAAGTATTACATTCGTGAATTTTTAGTTCATTTAAGGTAGGTAGGGTACATGCAGACAGGGAGTGAAGTAGTATGGCTGATTTATCTAAATTAAGAAATAGATTGTTTTTCTTTAACCAGATTTTAATTGACAGTGAATCAGCCTCAATATTAGCGAAAACTTCTTCCCAGGTTAAACCACTACAAATCAATACAGTATCATCAGCGTAACAAATAATATTACTATTTAAGTTCAGAAGTTTAATATCATTTAACTGAATATTGAATAGTACAGGAGAAAACCTGTACAACTATTGTATGTGGTGTACCCTGAGGAACACCACATACAATAGTTTGCTCACTAGAGATGGTATCATTTATTTTAACCCTCTGTTTCCCTTTTTCCAAATATGATTCGAATAGTGAGTGAGTCGAACCAGTAATACCTATGTAGTGCATTTTTTTTAGTAGTTTTACATGGTCCACAGTATCGAATGCTTTCGCCAGGTCAAGATAAATAGTTGCACATTTTTTTCCTTCTTTCAGTGTACTATAGATAATTTTGGTTACATTAGCTATGGCTTGATCAGTGCTTTTATCGGAACTAAAACCATATTGGTGTTCAAAGAGTAAATTATTCGATTTTAAGTAGTGTACTAATCTAGCTTTTATAATTTTTTCAAATATTTTTGCTACATTTGATATTACAGATATTGGCCGAAAATTACTAATGATAGAAGTTAGACCTTTCTTGTAAATGGGTGTTATAATTGCTACTTTAAAAACATCTGGAATTTTATTTTGGGTTATACATAGATTAAAAAGGTGTGTGAGGGGTTTAACAAGGAAAGTAATATATTTTCTTTAGAAGATTAGAGGATATGTTGTTGATACCGGGCGATGCGCCATTTTTTAATTTAGAAGTTGCTTCTAGTATAATATCTTTATGTGTTATCAGCTCAAATTTATTTAAGGGGGAAGCATTTGGCATAATTGTATTGTTGGACAAATTATTTACATTTGCATCGTTTTTTAGTTGTGTTACTAGATCAGTTGCCACATTTATAAAATAGTCAAAATTATCGGCTAAGATTGAAGCTGGTTTCCTATCATTAGGTTCAGTATTAGCTTTTATATTATTTAGTAATTCATTAAGATTATTTTTTTTATTGTTTCTGGATATGATATCATTGATTAATTGCCATTTATGTTTGGTGGTTTTCCCAGATTTATGTATTTCTTTTTTGTTATATTTAGTTTTAGTTTCTTTTATTAAATATGTTAATTTGTTTCTGAATTTAAGGTAAAAGTCTTTTAGTTTTAGATTTAAAGGATATTTCCTAACTTGAAGGTGAAGGTTGTTGTTAGGATGTTACACACTATTAATACATTTATCTGAAACCGACGAAATTAAAACAAGAATAAGAAACAATTAAAACAATTGATTAATAAATACTTAAATTTTGTTAGATGACTACTTCTACCTAGTTAATATTTTTTATAACTATATATGTAAAGGCTTTGAATACTATTAAAAGTAAAAAAAAATTTACTTGTAAACGTAGCTGCAATTTTTTTACATCCGTTGGCTGAGCAGATACAGTTTGTCTCAATTCTCGAACTCGCTGGCACATTTCATCTATGGCTACTTGTATAGGACATTGTTCTWTTTCACGTCTAGCACATACTCGTAAACGTTTCTTAACATATGGAAACTTATACTCGGCTAGAGAATAATAATTTTTGATGATAAATTGATAAGTTTTGTTCTGTTGCAGTTTATTTCAATTTTTATTTCATATAATAAAATACTCTAAAATTTTACTTTTTATAATTGTCTGTCGTTTCCATTGCTCACGCGGACCACTTTGAGATTGGCCGCCGCCAAGTGTAAACGGTGTTTCAAAAACAAAACTATCAATGTCATGGTTGCGTTCAAACTCGGAAACGGAATCGTTATCAATATCCATATATTTTTCTCCGTGGTATGGCACGACGTGAGTAATTTGTATGTACGCGAATTTCACATCCAACTCAGAAGTGGAAATCTATACGGCCAATAATATAAAACAATAATACAAAAGTTAAAAACAGTCAAATCAAATTAATTCAATAAACAACACAATCTACAGTCTATCAAATATTCAAACATAATTATGCCTATATTGGAATATTTATAAAAATGCTTACAGTACTTGAATCCATAATTATGCGTACATTGTCCCGGCCAAATTTATCGCCATATTGACACAGTAATCGTTCAGATACGTCTGATAAAGGTGTTAGCTTTGGTTCTTTATACACGAATTCGATGCCGTGTTGATCGCCAAAATATGCCTGAACAAAAACAAACAAACATTGCAAMCAAAATAAGAAATACGTTTCATTATTGAACACAAAAATTATAATAGTATAAGGAACTTTATGAAATATGAATACATAACGCTTATTAAGTATATTGATATAATCTATATACCTATATAATATAATGATTATGAAAACTTATTACCAAAGTAATGTAGGTCATTGGTTAATTGTAAGTTATTTACGTATAAAATATTAAAATTATATTATATAAGGTGTAAGGTGTAACAGGAAGACCTGAAAAATGAAATAACTTTTGTTCTAGTTTTAATCATTATTTAAACATTTATTCTTATTTTTATATTTTATGAAAGTATTTTTAAAACTTAATAATGGGTATCTAAACCATCATGACTGTTTATTACGATCACTGAACAATAACAATAATTATATATGCAGTGGTGTATATATAGGAGGGGGGCTAGCAGTCATGCCTCCCATTAAATTGATGGTTATTATTTTAATAATTATTAAATATAGTAATGGACATTTATTATTTTTGTCCATGGTACGTGAAAAATTACAATATTTTTACTATACATAATAGGTAAAAATCTGATTTAGAAAAACGACTAACTGATGAATGCAGTGCTGCGTGTACTTTATTAAAAGTTACTAATTATAAACCAAATGTTAACGAATTGGCATCAACTACAAACATCACATCAAAATAAATAATTAACAAGTAATATTATTACAATATTGTATGTACCTAAGAGGCTAAGACCTAACTAGGTACCTAAAACAACTAACAAAATATTTTTCATGGCACGCTCGAAAAAAAAGGTAATTTTTGGCAAATGTGTTCAATAGGTTTGCCACCATATAGTAGGTATATTCGTGTGTGCTCCCATCCCATTTTAAAATCCTATATAACGCTACTGCAGCCTGTAGGTAACACGGAATATATGTATATTTGTGGTGCATATTATATACCTGTCCAAACAGCGTAACCCTATAATAACGGCCAAGCATCCGGCGGCCAGACTGGCGGGCGGACACGGCCGCGTCGTACGCAATGCCGACGGTCCGATAACAGTCGGCCAACGCGTGGTAGTCCTTGCGTTGCTCATACACAGGTATGACCAGCTTGTACAGCTCGCCGAAACACTCGTACAGCTCGGCCCGGCGTAGACTGACTGCGCACGCCTCCAGTCGCTCAAGAAGAGCCTGCTCTCCGTAAAGCGTGTCGTTTACTGCCACGCTGCCGCCACCGGAGTCCAGCTGCAGGCCCGTCTCGTCCCTGGAAATGTTCGACGAGATTTTCTCAAATGCTTCAGCACCCCATGACTGCGTTCCCTTCAGTTTCCGGTATTGCGCTACAAGCGCCGCAATGTGGAGCCTACAGCAGGCCGCCTGAAAACAATAATAACTTGATAGTTATATAGATACCCAGAGCCGGCGAAAGCTATGGGCGACCTGGGCGACTGCCCAGAGCGCCAGCACGGAGGGATGCCAAACTGAAAATTATTTTTATTTATTTATCTTTTAAAACACATTAACAATCTATACAATTTGAAATATTCATTATCTAATGTCGTTTTAATTGAAGATGCATCTTCAATTGTCTCATATAAGTCATATTAGTAGAATATAAGAATAATATAACAGCTAGTGCATCGATACCGCTGGTTTTGATGTAAAAATAATACACGGAACTACGGAAGCATATCACCGCATTAGTGTGTGTCAACTGTCAATAAAATATATAGAATATAGATGGTCGTATCTTATTATAATATTTACCTATTTATAAATAAAATCATATAACTAGACGATTAAGG